TATTCCAGAGACATCGTTGCAGCCGCAGAAAATAATCCAAACTTCCTAAAATCAATTGTTACGTGATGAAACATGGTGCTTTCAATATGATCCAGAAACTAAGCGTCAAAGTGCGGAATGGAAGTCAAAAAATTCACCACAAGCAAAAAAAGTACGAAAAGTTCAAAAATCAAGACAATGCTCATCATATTCTTTGATAGCAAAGGTATTATCCACAAAGAGTTTGTTCCAACTGGCTAAACAATTACTGGTGCATATATTATCTCGAAGTTTTAAAGCGATGGGTAGAATTTATCGTATTCGCCCCGAATATCGTGATCCAGAAGATTGATCTTTGTTGCATGATAATGCACCGAGTCACACTTCATTGATTGTCCGTCAATGTTTGGCTCGAAATCGTGTCTCTGTGTTAAACCATCCACCGTATTCACCTGATTTGGCCCCCTGCGACTTCTCATTATTCCCAAAATTGAAATTGAAATTGAAAGGACGCTTTTTTTATGACATTCCGACCATCCAATCAGCTTCTACGCAGGCACTAGAGGCAATTCCGCAAACTGAGCTAGAACATGCATTTGAATCACTATTGAATCGCTGTAACAAGTGTATTGAAGCCAGAGGAGAATATTTTGAATAATAAAACCAAAAAATATGCATATTTGTTGTTTCAATTATGATTTCAGGCCCTGTCCGGGAACATATTTGTCGCACTGTGTGTGTATATATATATATTATATATATAACAATATAGAAATACACAGCAATAAAAATTTGTGATATTGTGATGTAAAAATAAACGTATTTTAAACAAATTTGTGTATTTAAACAATTTATTTACAATACAATATTTAATTTAATTTACAATTTTCATCGGTGTTAAAGTGTTCATAATTACTATTCTTTTTTCATTTCCCATTACAGCTATATCACCACGATTAATTGGTCCGATTTCCTCATTTATAACGCATACTGTAATTGGCATTACGTCATTTTTCAAAATACAAATATTATGTAGAACATAGCATGCAATGATGAACTTCAGTACCTTCTTTACATCTTAAAGGCAGACAATCCAATAAAATTCTGAATCGTATTTTCAGTAACTCAATAACTCATTCTATTTCCATTCTGGTAGCCGAATAACAATAATTATTATAAAATTTTATTGTCTGAGTGAAAGACGTCCGTGGTTTCTAAATGGTACCATCACATGATGATGAATACCATAAGTAGTATCGCCAATAATGTGGGAGTTATTTGGAAAATAAACATTTAGTATGTTCAAAAAATGTGCCACTATGCACTAGAGAATTTCTAGCATCATGTACGGAGCCTACTTGTCCTGTGTAGCAGTGTGTGAAAAGGCCACAGAGAATCACATACAACTTGTACATTTATAGATGAAAATTCTTTTCGATTGATGTACGAAGCATCCTCTACTGGTGCTCGGATTTTAATATGCGTCCCATCAATAGCGCCTATTACATTTGGAAAGCCACATTTTGTTTTAAATTGTTCAATTACTTGTATGGCAGTATCGCCTTGCGGTCATTTGATGAAACGAGGTGCGATGCAATGAAGAACAAGTGAACTTGCCTCAAAGCTCGAACAGCAGTGGCTTTACCGATTCCAAATTTTACACATACCAATCTAAAATACGTACATCACATAATGTAAATACAATTGCCAAAAACCTAATGAATTGCAGTAGCAGTTATATATGAATCTAATAAAAAATATATAATTAAGTATACATCTATAGGAATCAGAAGTTGCCATAAACCAAATCGCAATAAGTAATTGTTTCTCTGCAGAAATTTGTTTTCGATCACTCATTGCTTATAATCCTTTGCCAACTAAAGATAATATCTATCCATCTAAAAAGTTTCGGGGAATATTCTAAAATATAAATGATATTATAAATAGTATATATAACAATTAACAATTTAAATATGAAAATGGAGATAAGATATTTCATACATATGCTGTACTCACCGAAAGTGTTCTTTAAACACCAGTCTGGAGTAATTAGGAATTACGCGTTCGACATAATTTTTACAGGAACGATAACTTCTCCGCGTGTTGTATTTAACTTAAGAAAGCTATATAATATAAGACATCTTTATAGATATAAGATATCTTTCAAGGAATATCTTCATTATCATCATTGCTATCACTAGATTCGCTATCAATATTGTCATCATTTTTCATCATTATTATCAAAGAACTTATTGTCGAAATTATTTCCATTGTTGTCACGGCGTCCACGTTAATGTGCCTCGTGTATCGGTTAAGGCGCATTAAGAACCGTTCCAATTTAATGCGTGCGAAGACTCGCATCATGCGTATCGATAAAACGGAACGATTTCAATGCGCTTTGCATTACTCATGCAGTCCATGAACTTAATGCGCGATTCGGAACGCATCCCATTTCTTTCTAACAGATAAAAAGGAGGAGAAAATATTGGAAGTCGAAAAAGCATTAGGATGTATGATAACGAGGAACATTTGTTAAAAGTTGAACTGTGTTCAGGAATTGCAGAGGATGAGTGGGAAATATTGTGAAATGTATGTTGTATCGAATGATTAATACTATTAGGTGTCTTCCTCATCAACATAATTAGTAACGTCCTTGATATTCTTGACTGGTTTAATATTGAAACATTTAATTGATTTAATGTTCTTATGATTACGTGTTTCTTGTTTTTTTGTTAACCATTTTGTTATCTATTCTTTTATTTTTTCTAATATAAAATAAAAAACAAGATTTTTCTTGTGTGTTTAGGAATTCATCGCAAATCGTTTCAGGTAGATAATGAGATAGATCATTAATAAGATAGAAAAGATGCATTCTATTATATTGATTCTTTCTTTCTATACATGTCATTAAGTTCAGTTTTTACAATGTTGTTGACAAAGGATTCTTTATAACATAAGAATTTTTGAGCCATAATATGATGATAAAAATTGATATTAAAGTTACTCATTTTGTACAGATGTTGAGGTATCTTCTTTCTCAAACAATGATTTAAGAATTTAATGTTACATTATTTTTAAACATATGTAATGTCTTAATATTTATTTATTCTAGATTAGAAACTTATATTGTAATTTATAGAAATTATCATGTATTTAATTTTTACGTTATATAAAGACATTAAATCTAACTCTTACATGTCCTTTCACAACAAACATTATCGTGTATTATTAACAAGAATTCTTTATACTTTTCGATTTCTATATATGTCGAATATAGAACATCTTGAAAATTTAATTGTAATGAATTATAAATTAATTATAAGAAAAGTTTAATTGCAAATAAAAATCTAATTAATAAAAATCCGAGTATTTTAGAACTCTTGACATTGAGTATTATTTTAATCATTTGTCGATTATTCAATGGCATGTTTCTTAATTCATCAATTAAGGGGATCCTAAAGATGAATAGTCATATTGAAAATAACATTTACATACAGACGATTTATGTGTTAGTGGTACATCATTACATCAATATCTCACTCATTACACATAAATTTTCGTAACAAATACATTTTAATTACACATCTAAGTTCAATTAAGAACTCCACACTGTTTTTTCCACACTGTTTGCAAACTACTAGTCTATGGATTACTATTTCGTAAGTATAGACTGCACAGCTTTTATGTGAAGCAAATGTCACGACGTGACAACTCTGGAGCGCCATATTGAACTAAGAAATAGTAAAGATCTCAATTTCGAAATTTTTTGTCATTCTCCGTATAGACTTCATTTCACAGATACATATTAATACTTATATCCTGAAAAAGGATTTTTAAATTAGTAAGAGAGGAAAAAAGTAATTGTTAATACAAAAATTATGATTTAGTCGGTAATACGACTTTAAGATCCCCTTAATTAATCGCATTATGCAGTTTTTGCAAGAGTTCACACATAATGCAATTGATTAATCAATGAATTAAAAAACTCTCCTTAATTTTATTGTAAAAAATATTGCCTTAGCCAAGATTCAAATCCAGATAGATATAATCGACAGATTCAAATCCAGATAGATATTATCGACAGATATTAGTTCCATTTTGCCGCCTGTACACCAGCAAGGGCATCACAAATGATGCCCTCTATAAGAAGAGAGATAGCAGACCCTGGTACAGTATAGCATACTAACAAAAACAATACATTTTCAGTACTGGCAGTCAACTGTGATAGTAATACACGAATATGACTTAGGTTTTACGATGAGCTTACGATCATCATAAGGAGCTTATGATGTCTAGTCACTATGATGTTCAAAACAGCAGTCACACGGCGCGCGCGCGTTTAACGTCAATAGTTATAATATCCATGTTATAACTCCAGCGTAAATCGGACCGTCCAAACGTGATAACTTATTAAATTGCATTACTATTCTGGTTCTGCTCGTGAATGCATTTCAAGACTAAAAAAGATTTCGGCGCGCAATTTGCAGAATCAAATATGTATTTAAATTTACACGCATATTATATGCGTTAACCGCATATAAAATTTCTCTTCCTTAATTAGATTTATTCTCATCGGTCTAAATTGTGGTATGCAATATTATAATATGTAATGCAATATTATAATGTGTAATGCAATATTAACATACATAAAAATTTCATGTAAACGGAATTTTTAAATACACGGCAATCTTGCTTAAAAGTAGGACTCGCTCAATGTAATTACTTGAATAAAATACTAATGGTAGTATTTTAAATATTTTACTATAGTGATACGGTGACAAATACGATAACACAACAGGAAACTCAGCGTATGATATCACTATGGAATTCCTATACTGTAAGTTTTATCATGTTGCATGAAAAGTTTCATGCGCATTATTTCCTCTTTTTCTCTCAGTAACAACTTTTATCTATAAATATATAACAAAAATATATACAGTATTTTATAATTACCATGTTTTATCATATTTTATACACAACAAAACTGTATGACTCATCTTCCATTTTCGAATTCAAAAATATTTACGTTTTTACTCGTTTAAATATATAATAATTATATTAATGTTTGAGATCGGTAATTCGAAAGAAAAGCAAGCGATTTTTCGTTCTTTGTTCTTTTTAAAACAATTCGTTACACGCAAACAAGTTGTCGTTACCGGCAACGGACAATCGAAAGTTCTAGAACAATTCAATTCGCGCACGCGAGCGCCGCGCTCCGACGAATACGTCACGCGCTGTCACCAATCCCACGCACGGATTTTCTGTCGCGCATGGCTGTTACGTTGAACGTCGTAAGAGAAGAATCCAAAGCGCCAATCAATTTTGTACACCTAATGCCACGTAATAATTACGATTGTGGCAAAATTTTATTGGATTTTTTCCAAGAAGAAAGCCCAGACCGAAAGCAATAAATGCTTCGATCTCGCCGGCCTCCTGCTTAGAGTCCTTAGTTCTTAGAGTCCTTAGTTCTTAGAGTCTAAAAGTTCTTAGAGTTCTTAGAGTCATAATCTCGCTTCGTAAAATCGCCGTGCTAACCGCTTAGTGAAACCGCTATAAAACGAATCTTTCGAGAAGTGCCGAGAAAATCGCCGAGATTTTCCATTACCGCGATTCCAAAATATCATTTGGAAAAGGTGACCGCATTTAATATTCTGTTAATCTAATATTTAATTAATTATATTTTTTGACTTTGTAACTGAGCATATTAAAGAAAATTCTTTTGTTAAATTACAAAGAAACGGAGTTCTCTTTACTGTCGTGCATCATATCAACCTTGTGCCGTTTTCTCACTCGAATCTTTCCGCGCGGTGCGCTCTCGCACAATTAATAATGTATAATTTAAAAAATTTGCTTTAACAAAAACCGGTTTTCCAAAAATAGAGATCCAAAAAGTCATCCCTACTCTGATACTGGCTTTGGCTTTATAATATCAACTCTTTCTTCTTTGAATGCCAGACATTCTCCTGCCGAGTTTCTTCAAGTCTAATTTATGTTTGTAACATTGTTTGTCGATTCCTTCAATTTACATGTTCAAATGCATTATCATGTCATAAAATCAATACAGAAATGATATTAATCGATATCCGCAATATGTGGAGGAAAAAATTAAGAGTCAATAGTGTCATTATAATAGTTCGATGGTACTTCGAAGCATAAACTTATAGGATAGACCTAGCATCCATATACTTTTTTATAGATTTGGCAGAACGATGCGAGAGACAAAATATCGGGGCAACTCATTCTTCTCTTGACATTTATATCACTGAAAAAAATATAATAAGATATAAAATAAGGATAATACTCAAGAATTCTATCTTCCTCATCGATTTTGATGAAATTAAAGCAGAAAATATTTATTCCAGCCTAACTTATACATTTTCATGCTCTATGCCATTGATGTAACAGATTTCCTAATTTAAACAGTCAATTTCAACGATTAATATCTCGGTCTACGGAACAAAGCGTCACTTTATTTTGCTAGATTCGTTCATTTCGTGCAAAAACGCATCGAATGAGTCTAATTTCGTCAAAATCAGTGAGAAAGGTAGAATTCTTGAGTATTATCAAAATTCACTATCAAGATGCTCAGAGAAGGTTGCCTCGATATTTTGCCTCTCGCACCATTCTGCAAAACCCAGGTATATAGCTAATATTGAGTCTATTTTATATGTTTATGGTATGCTTCAAAGATATTGAAACCGCGACTGTCATAAATAAGCAAATGGTAGTGTTGATACTGACATTATGATCATTGCAAAACTTGCAAAAAAAAAGAAACATAGAAAAGTACAAATATTCTTAGAACATACTACCATAATATTGCAATTTGAATAATTAAGAAATAGTAATATAAATTATAAAATAATCAAATAAGAGTCATCCTATAGAATCATCTCAGAACTACCGCCATACACAATAAAAATAATTTGATTATAACACCACTGAGACAGAATAAGGTTGAATTAAATTTCAAAATCATTTCTTCATTGCTTTCATTCAATCTATCTTAAATGCTTTAATAAAGCATTTAAATAATAAAATCTTGGAACAATATGTATATTGCAGTATGGATATAAGAATCTAAATCACTCTA